AGTATATACTTAGGTACTCATAAATAACTATTTTTCAACATCATTTTTTTGGTATTTTGTTGCAATTCATAAATAAATAACCGTAGATAGGTACCTACTTGAAATTTTCACTGAATATTTATATATAGATTATATTATAATTTTCTATAATAGCATGGTCAAAATAGTTTGACTCTTTTTGAGCTATTTATTGATATTTTCTATTTTTTTCGAAGTCTTAGTTTGATTATAGGCCTAAATGTCTAATACTAAAGCTAACAAGAGATGGTTGATTTTTCTGAACCAGAATTTACTATGTTTCGCGTGCACTGACATCCTCTTAACTAAGTTCTAACAACACGATTATAAAATGTATGTTTCAGGCGTTTCAGCACTCACGGCTCACACGTAAAACTATAATAAGTGGTAGGTTCTAAGTATCTACTACCTATGTAAAAATATGTAAGGCGTAAGCTGTTAAGACTTAACGACATATATAGGTATTAGGTAGGTATCATCAAATGCGTAAATAGCGTTTGAGATTTGGGATGTGGGGGCTGAAGCCTTATTATAATACATTAATACTATTGAATAAGCTTAACAAAAATTAGGAAACTTTTGGAGGGCTATTGAAATTTTGGGGGGTTTACTATATGCGCCTATAGGTATCGTGTATATTTTATACATCAAATGTTTAACTCCAAGAGTAGCCACCGAGTACCGTTGCTCGACTGCCCGAGTGCCTACATATATAGATACTTATTTGAATTTATGTATTTCATTTCATTAAATACCTAGAGGCACCTAACAGATTTGGATATGTTTGAAGTTTGGTCATGACTCATGGTCCATAGACAATGAAAGCTAACAAGTCGGAGGTCAAATTGTAGTCCAAAAACACTGATTTAGTACCAACTACCAATGCAACATTGCCGTCATTAAATATTTATAGACTACATGACGTGTCTGTCCAGCTATTGTAATACAAAGTATAATATTGTATGATACAAAAAAAACTACGAAGGTATGTTATTTAATTGAATTGAATATATTATATACAATATACATACAAATATATTATAAATAATAATATACCTACTTGTTTTGTGTAGGTAATTATGATAAAGAGATAGTTTTAAAATTAAGTGTAGTCCTGAAAATAACTATTTTTAACTAATTATACTTAACTATACTAAACGACAAAATATGTAAGTAAGTGTTTATAAATTAGCAGTTCTACAAAGAACTGTTTCAAAATTAATTAACATTGCATGTGTAGCAAACTTGAAAAAAAAAACAATCAACTTATCGTGTAAAATAAATACATAAGAACGTAGCACTGCAGCAGAAAACTACATCTGTATTCTACTATTCTGTCGTAGCAAACTTGTAAAATATGATCACTTTAATCGTATTTAAAAATGCGTAAACATTCGATAGACCAATGAAAACCTTTTTTTTATAAAAAATGTTTAGCTCACTTAATTTTTAATTTTGTTTTAAGCTTTCTCTGAAACTAATCGGGAATAGCTTAATAAAAAATTTGAAAGTGTATAAATAAATACATTTAATACAAATTAATTTTAAGAAGTATTTATGAACAACCTTTAACTTATAGGTTGCTAAAAATGTCTTGAATTTTCTTGAAATGATTAAACACAGTTTCTGTATTTTTAAAATACCGATTAGGTATATTCGTTACTTTTAGGCATCATATTATAGTGGTATTGAATTATATTTCAAATAACTTATCTATATCGATATCGATTCGTTAATAAATTAGGTATATCTACTATAGTAATTTAAAATAGTAAATTGGGAACAAGGTGGTAAAATATAAAATTTTAAACCTTCTGAAACACTGACCGACTGACATACCAATTACCAGCAGGGTAGTTAAATAAGCTTGCATTTTTGGAAATACCCTGCAGAGTAAATATGAGCATAAGTCAGTTTTGGTGCTATACACTACTATTATATAGGTAGTAGGTACTTAATTAAAGATTACTTTTTGAGTCATAACAGACCTAGATATAATGTAGTCATATCATAGGAACAAATAAGATGTTATACCTATTTATAAGTAACAAGTATTAACATTAATTTTAAAATTACGTTTATATAACATGTTATGTACTTATGTTAGTTGTTACGGATTGACTTGATCAAATTAGGCGGATCAAATATGAGGAAATATAAAATATAAATATTAAATCATATTATTAAGGTGATGAAAATAATAAGGGTATTTCTTTTTGTAATAAGACAAGACGTTATTAATAAATATTAATATATCCGTTATCAAAGTCACTCTTACAACAATTATGATTCGATGAACGCATTTTCATTGGTAAACAATAACATAACAAAAATAGAATCCATTTTAATTTATATTTTATATTATTGCATGGTAGGCATAATTAATGTATACCTAACCAATAACCATAGGATAACCGGCATAACTGATAAGACTGAAAACTGATCAGCAAATTGAGCAAATAACCGGTATACCAAAAAACCGTCAACCCTACCGTGCCCACATCTAATCGGACAAAAACCTAATTACTGGTTGGTCTTCACTTATGAGTTCCAAGTTTCCAACTGCCTGTGTGATTGTGTATGCCGTAGGTATATGGTATTATATAGTATATAATATCCTATACTGGGTGTAACAGATATAACTGACTTTTGGAATAATTTTTGAAAATAAAAAAATTTAAATTTGATTTAAATTTGTTTGGATATATTCAAAATAGCCAATTTATGAAACTGATTATAAGAAAAATTTAGTTAGTAAAAACATTTAACTAAGTCAAGTAGTTTGTTTTTTAGAATTTTTGAAATATCAATATTTTTTTAATTAAATGAATTTGGAACGTATACGTAAGTAAGTTATTATAATAACTTTTTTCAAAATATTTTTTTGGGGAATTTGCTGACATCTTAAATTATTTACTTATCATATAATTTTAACAATTTTTGTCATACGTTTAAGTAGCGTCATTTTTTTTTCATGAAGTCAGTTTGTTACACCTTGTATACTAATATTTATTTGTCATATTTTTTGAATAATATATAAAAAAGTTGTTTTCAATTTTTAATAAATTAAAATTGACTATTGTATTAATTTTTATAAAATGTACCTAATACAATATAACTTTTCAATGTTAAATTGTCATAAAACATTTTTGCTCAAAAAAGTCATAATAGTGTCTCATAGTTATAATCTAATTTAAATGGCCGCAGAAAATGCAGAGCAAACACCTTCAGTATTTTTATTGAAATTGCGCCTATGTATACAGTGTACAAATGTGTAGTGAGTTTTCAGTCGGCTTTCGCCTTTCAGTCTTTGAACCATCGCAGTTCACATTTTAAATAAAATCAATATTATGTTTAAACTTTTTACAAATAACCGTGGAAATAATTCCATTCATTATGACAACTATAACTTTCGTAATTTTAGAACTAATAAAAGTTCCGGTGATATTGTTTATGCGATGTACTCAAAAATCATGTAGTGAAACTATTATCACCAACCATGAAAAACCGGTTTTAGTTGGCAGTAATATTAAAGTCTAAAGACCACCAACACGATGAAGACAATGATGAACAAAAAAAGAACTGCAAACAATTCGTACAGCTATAAAACATAAAGCTATTGAAGTATAAATCTAGTTTAGCAACTTCTCGAAATTTCGATTTTTTTTTTTGAAACCTATGTAATTCGACGAGTTTAGAACGATGGTGCAAAAATAAATTTTCGGGAATGATAAGTTTTGAAGATATAGACTGGCGAAGTTCACGATTTTCGCTGTTATACGCATGCTCGCAACGCTCTATTTTAACGCTCTAATAACGAGTTTTTAAATAATTTTTTTGTTAAATGTATTTAATTAAATTAAAAAAAATGATTAATCGCTAAAAATAAAAAAAAATATTATGGTTACAAATTATTTTATAATATTGTTAGATTAAGAATATATTTTTATTAAATCATTATGTTAACGCTCTTATAATGTGGGGGCAGCTTAGATCATATACTATATAGTATATGATCTAAGGTGGGCAGTGATTTTTCTATGATTACACAGTAATGATAATGATAATAATGATTAATGATAATGATAATGATGATGATAATGGCGCCGAGTGCCGCTAACTGTGTAATCACTGCCCATATACTACGACATAACTTACCCTGCAAGTTGTAACCTACTTAAGGTGGTGTTGCATAGCAAGTGGGGGGATATTTTCGATTTGAGGAGCGGAGCATTATCATTATCATTACTGTGTAATCACTGCCCACATTATAAGAGCATTAAAATAGTGATTTAATAAAAATATATTCTTAATCTACCAATATTATAAAATAATTTGTAACCATAATATTTGTTTTATTTTTAGTGATTTATCATTTTAATTTAATTAAATAAATTTAACAAAAAAATAATTTAAAAATTCGTAATAAGAGCGTCAAAATAGAGAGTTGCGAGCATGCGTAAAACACCGAAAATCGTGAACCTAGTCTATAGGTAACTTCAAAACTAATCAATTCCGAAAATTTATCTTTCCACCATCGTTCTAAACTCGTAGAATTACATAGGTTTCAAAAAAAAAAAATCGAAATTTCGAGGAGGTGCTTTACTAGATTTGTTCCCGGAAACTCTATAGTGTGGTAACATTCACATATTGCCCCAAACATTTTTCCAGCAATACGTGGTTTGACAAGAGGCCTCTACGTTCCATTAGTGTTTTATTGTTGGTGTTGGGATTTAACTCCACAAGAAAAAGTGGCCATGGGCCCCCGCAGAAATGTAGCTCACTGGGTGCAAAATATTTTTAGTCTCAATATAAGATGTGGGGGGGCGAAGCCCCCCACACCCACCTAACACTAATTAAATAATATATATTCTTTATCATTAATGATGGGTATAACAAAATATATTTAAAACATAAATCATTTTATTTATTAATTCTAATCAAAATGTATATTCTTGTTTACATTATATATTAATACATTATTAATCATTGAAAAACAATGCTAACAGCCTAGAACTCAATCCAAACTTTTCAATAATACCTTCTAATTGCTGTACAAAAAATTCCTTATTTTCGTACCTTTGTCGATGAATATTAATCAGACCTAAGCTACTTAACCTTTCACTTACCATTCTATTTCCCAGCCATGTCTTTAAACGACGTAATGTGCTAAAATATAATGACAATTTTGAATTTATTTTATAAGAATAATATACCAAATAAAAAATGAGAAATATAATATAGAAAATATTACCTGAAAGATCTTTCTACTGAACATGAAGTTGCAGGTAAAGTAATGGCAATTTGTATAGTCATACATACAGCTGGGTAAAATGTTTCATAATCAAGAATATCGATCAGCATAGGCGCAAATAGGGGGGGCTTAGGGGGTATTAGCACCCAAAATTTTAAAATTAGCACCCTTTAATAATGTATGTGTTTATATATCAAAACTTCTCCTTACAAAAAAAAAAAAACATTTTCACGATGTGTCTGTCGTGCGTTTCGTCGTGGTGGAGTCAACTCCAGATCTATTTTGGATGTAATGTCTATTGCTTTTTCAAATATTGCACCAAATTGAGTCTCACAGTCATCACGATCTTTTTGCAACATAGTTAATTTCAAATTTTGCAGAATACTTTGAAATTATTGATAGTATAACTACAATAGTGGGAGTAGTTATTGCAGCTAAAAGTTCGTAGCTACGCTGTTTTGTCTTACAATTTAAATGGTTTGATTTCGATATTTCTTCTAAGCCTTCTACAATTGTTACAAATCGTTTATAAAACTGTCTGACACTTTTATGTTTTTCCACAAATCGTGTTTCACATAACTTAGTTAACACACTACCTCCAATAATATTTTTGAGAACAGCACTATCTCTAAAAAATGTGATCGTTTCTTTGATTTCTCCAATACAGTTTCTAACTTCTGTCACAGAGTTTAAATCATTAATAACCAAATTTAAACGATGACATATATGCACAATGAAAAAAATGAGCCATTGGGTACACATAATTTATTCTTTTTTGTACTCCTGATATATGCCCTGCGCCCCTGCCATTGTTGCACATCCATCATAACCTTGACAAACACATTTATTCATATCAAAATCAATGTTCCTACTTACCTCTAAAATTGTTTTAGTAATAAATTTCGCATCAAATTCAAGTAGAGGAAAAAATCCTAAAAATTCTTCATGAACCAATTTATCCTTCAAGTACCTTACACATATTGATAGTTGCTCAACACCACTAATATCGGCTGTTTCATAAGCTATAAATGAAAAACAAAAAGTTTGTCTAACTTCATTGGTGATAACTTACCTTAATGTATATGATGCACATTCTATTAGTTCATTTTTTACACGGTAAGATATATATAAGGCGTTTTTAGAAGATTTTTCTAAATGGCTTTTCAAAACTAAATCACCAGCGTTAATCCTGAATTTTGGTAGATTATTAAATACAGCAGTATTGTCATTATTTCCACGAATAGGCAATTTATGTAATGCACAGAATAAAAGTAAAGTTAAAATTTTCTTTAATTTATTTCTAATTTCAGTTATTTTGTTTTTATAATGAGAATCTAATATCTGATCAACACCACTATTTCTTTCCATTATGTCCATAAAATCTTTAGACCGTATACAAGATTCAATTTTACAATACAGATTTAAATTTTCAGTCCCTAGATATAAAATTTGAACATTTTATAAATTTTTAACTACAAAATAATTATTCAATTTTAAATTTAATAAATTTTGTCAAAATTGTGTCTATGTATTTTAAATATTTTTCAACTGATATTGTAACAATATATCAGGAGCCTTGTATTACATTTTTACACTTTTTGGCCCAACAGATAAAACTTTATTGATATTTATAGAATAAAAAACTAAAAAAATTTAAAACTGTAAATGTCCGTAAATAGCTCAAAAAGAGTCAAAATATTTTCAAAATTGTATGGTGTATAGGAAATACAAATATAAACATTCAGTGAAATTTTCATGTATCTACAGTTATTCGTTTTTGAATTACAACAAAATAAGGAAATCGCTACATGAGAAATCGAGTGAATATCATCCAATTTTGTAAAAATTTGAATATCAAACGCTCATAAAAATTTAATTTGACTTTCTTATAGACATTTTTTTTTTTTGATAAAGGTAAATAATCTTATAAGGAATCTTGTATTCAATTTTAAAATCTTAGATTTGAAAAGAAAAATCTTTATGAATTCTTAACTAAAAATAATTTGCTAATTTTCGTGATTTTTCCATATTTTGTCAATTTTTGAACTTTAAAAACTTATAAAAAAAAACTGTGACTAAAGATTTTTAATATTTTTCATCTGCCTTTGAAACAATATTTTAGGAGCCTTCTATTAAATTTTCAAGCTTTTTTAACCATCAAATAAAATTTTATTAATATTTTTAGAAAAAAAACTAAAAAAAAATGGAAAATGAAATGTCCCTAAACAGTTATCGTTTAAATGTTATCGTGTATAGAAAATGCAAATATAAGCAACCAGTGAAAATTGCATGTAGATACGGTCATTTGTTTTAAAGTTACACCAAAAACCAAATTCGATTTTGTTAAAAATCGATTTTGCGTAAAAATTCCCGTTTTTCCTTAATTTTTCTTTTGTTTTTCTTGGCGCTTTTGAAAATTACTGGGAATATTAAATTTTGGCCTCCCCAATGCACCAACGATATTCACTTTCCAACTGAACAAGATATTAAAGTTGAAAATCGAAGCATCATTTCGACCACTTATCGTGTACACAGACACAAAAAAAAAATTTTTAAAAATGTATCAATATAAAATGCTGGAGCATCATCTGACATTAAAACTTTTGCGTTGATAATTCCCACTTTCGCTTTAATTTTTTCAAAAAACAGCCTGAAAATAACCTCGTCCGATCAATTAGTGAAGCAGAAAGCAACTGGACAACCTGATCCAAACTCGTCAACTGTCATAATTGTGAACAATTGTATATCATATGCATTTGTACCATGAGTGGCATCAATACAAATTTTTTCCATACCATATTTTTTTAACTGCTCACCTTGGAAGTCTGTCATTATTATCAGAGAAAAATCTTCTTTCTTCAACATCCCTTGCTCCTCGACTCCAACATAAAATTGGAGACTCTGTTAATGATTTCATTTCATCGACCCACAACTTACACTGATGCATCATATATTATTATTCATTAGATTAATTTTAAAAATAAAAATATTATATTTATTATAATAAACATAAGCTAGGGAATAAATTTAAATGACACTTCTTTTACAAAATTTAACCGATTCAATTCTCCAATAGTAAAAGAAAGCATCTTTTCTCTTAAAAATTTTTCTTTTTCTGCAGTTTTTTTGATTGGTTGTGTAGCTGAGCTCCGAAGTGATACGTAAGTTTCACCCTGGATACCAAGTAATATTTCTATTAAAACAAAAATGTTAGGGTGAGCTGCACTGATACTAGCATTTAATTTTGCATGATAACTTTCACAACTATTTGTGGTGCGATTTGTGGTTGCCGCAAACTTGGCCCAAATATTAGGTGGAAATAATGCATCTTGCTCTATGTATGTTTTTAGAACATAATCATAAAATTTATCGACACTTGTATTTACTGGTTTGATAGTCATTAAGTCATCAATAAAACAATCAAACACCTCCTCTGGTTTTAAAAATGTTAAACTAAAAACGCACTTAAGATAGTCACTTATATCATTATTGGAACTTTTATACTCCTTTGATAGCCCAAGCTGTTAAATTTTGCCACCAACTTTGTGCTAAATGAAATCTACAACCCCTAATAATAGCATTTGGCCAAACGCACTTGACAGACGTATGAATTGCTACCTCAAAATCGACAAAAATTTCGGTAGGTTGAAAAGTCAGTTGAAGAGACGTGCAATAACTCACGATATACTGGAAAGCTTTAGTGTACGTTTCTAATGATTTGTTAGGTAATACCAAGAAAACCAATGATACATAAAATCCATTTCGAAATCCGTGAATAGTAAAAAGCTGTAAGAAATATTTCGCACAGCTTTTAAACGTCCCGTCCATGTATACTTTAGTAACATCACACAAAGCTTTCAAATTCGTCTCAGTTGAAAAACCTATGATATTATCTACCAAATTATTACAGAATAAAAATTGTTCACCTTTTTTGGTAGTTATGTTCATTGTGTTTAAACAATTATGTGTTTCTTACATGCTTTTAGGTAATTTTGGATATAGTACTTTACGAGCATGATGGATGTTATTTCTTATTAATTTCAAATCATTAGTGTTTATCGAAGGTATATCCCTGTTTTTCAACTCGGATCTAATGAGCTTTGAAGGTTGAGTAGAAATATCTTCTTGCGCTTTTCTTTTAACCGAGTTACTAAGTTTTTGCCTATCCAGAACCTTGCTATCACATTTTTCGTGAGTATGGTCACATTTACATTTCTCAATCATACGATTATTATCCGATAATGTAAAAAAAACACTTACACGTATTAAGATAACACTTCCAACGTTGTACGTCATTCTGCGACATTTTGTGTAAGCGAAATTTAAATTGATCTTCAATGATAATTTGTTTGATTTAATTAAAATATTTAATCGAGTATTATCAAATAATACCGCGGACCCAATTCGAGTACCTACTATCGAATAACACCGTGAACCCAACTCGTGTTTTTTTTGAGGGATCAATTATCTCGGGATCCAACTCTCGTTTTGTCACATAATTAATATTAAAATCCCGTGTGACATTGTGTAAATCTTTTTGTTCGAGGAGTAGCAATCTGTTACGGCGGAAACGACATACCTAATATTGTTATCGATAAACGATAAACCTGTATCTATACTTTATGTCATTAGAAATTATGTTGTGATTATACTAGATATGTGTAGTGTGTGTAATTCAGTTGTTGTTGTCGAGTTGTCGGCTACGCACTCGCCAAAATAATATTAAATATACAGTCCATTAATATAATAAAAAAATTGTTGTTAAAGTCATTTATCAGTCAACACAATCGTTGAACTTGCATTGTCATAATAATATGTTTTGTGTGTACAGATAAAATATATTATATTCTAATAATAATTCCCTCTTTTAGTTAGTGTTTTTCTATCAGTTAATCAATATTACTCTTGAGGTAGCTATATTAAACTACATTTACTAACTAACTCATATTAATTCATATATATACATATTACCATACACATAGATGTGTTAAGTACACAAACACAATGCAAACTAATACAGCATTAACTACAGAACGCTAACATCCTAGAAGTCATATTTTAAGATCAATTATAATACCTGCAATCTTTATTTTTGATTCTTGATCTAATCCGATTTCCTGTTGATGTCCGCAATGTGTCTTCCAATAATTAACCTGAACTTTTTCTGTTCTATCATATTTAAGAATTGTCACCTCGAGCATGGATGAACAAACTCCACCAATTTTACTCATCCCTATCGATTTGATTTCTCTTATATCGGACCCTTTCTTTCGATAACTATATGATCGATGACAATAATAAAATTGTTTTGACTTTGAATCATTTAATCTGGCCATGGCTCTATCTGCGACAAACTTTAAGAATGTTGCTTGTTTCTCATTGAGTTTCCATGATTCAAATTCTGGAATTAACATGAAACAATTTATTATAATATGATTAAATATATTATTTTATAACAAGAAAAAAATGTAATTCAAGTTAAATAATGTATTCATTTGTTGGTAATCGAAACATGAAAACTCTGAGACACAGGCTAAAGATGATATGGTGAGAAAAAAAACTCATTCAATTAGACAATGGTTTAGTGGAGTTCTATCTTATTTAGAAGAGGAGTGTAATTTAGATATTAAGGTAATTAACTGTGATGAACCCGGTTTAAAATCGTGTCCAAAATCAGGTAAAGTATTGTGGACAAAAAAAATGAAAAACTGTTTTAAGTAGCAAATAAGTACCTATTTCCTATGTATAATATTATCTATTATGTTTTCTACTTTTAAAAGTTATTGTTTTATTTGTTTTAATTTTTTTTTAAGATGAATTTGATTTAGGGACATTGAAATTATAAACATTAGGTTATTTAAAAGTAGGTACCTATTTAATTTATGTTAATGTTTTACACATTACTACATATTATAAGTTTTTTTCTCCAGACCCATAAGCCAGAGATCAACCCTATTTTTAATTTAAATAAAAATCGTTAAAATATATGTAAAATTATACTTGCCCATCTAACTAATCACTATTTTATTAACTTTAAATGAGTTGTGTTCAGTTTGTTTAAAATGATTTGATTGATTTTAAAGTTTTAACTTTTATTATTATTATATTAAAATCACAATAAAATTAAATTAAAAAAAATACTATTATAAAAAGCTCAATGAAATAGCTAAATGAAAAATAAATTAAGTGTTCATTAACATTTAACAGGTACATGATGGTTAATTCACTAAAAAAATGTGTTCATTTACTAGGAAATCTGGTTTTTATAAACAAATAATTAATTAAAATTCATGCTTAAGTTAAATTTACTTTACATAATTAAAATTTTTATTTTACAGACATTCTTTAGTAGAAATTTCATATAGCAAGTAAGGACGTAAGGCCCTAACACTAAATTATAAGTATATATAAGCCTTCTAATGTTGAAAACACCTTAAGTGTTCATTTACTGGTACTGTTGCCCTAATCTGAATAAAAAAAATCAGGTTTCTGAATTCTTCCTAAATTCTAACTAAAATAATAGGATGTGTTAACACATAATCGTTTTTTATAACTAAATTTCTTACTGTGTATAAGATATTGTCAATAAAATAAATAGTGAATAAAATAAAAATGAATGAATGCGTGTAAAACAATGATGTAAAACAATTCTAAACTTATTTAACTACCTATTTAGATAGTGTGATAGTGTGATAGTGTGATGTATTTACCTGCAAGGCCACAAAATTCAATGATTTCGGACTCTCATTTCACTTTATGTTCTTCGAACAAATGATGTCTCAGATTCGGGATTCACATAGTTAGCACATATATTTAGCTATGGTGTTTTCGATCATTATGTGCTATGTATGATGTATATATAGAAAAGAAAGTAGAAATAGAAAAATGTAAATAATATGTAAATGGATAGTGTATTATATAAATATAAAATTATGAACCTCGTGATATTATAATTTATATTATACGAGAATAAATGTGTATGTTCTTTTTAGTATCTTATTCGGTGCACCTTACCCTTATACTATGATATTTAATGCAAACTTTTGTCATAATAACTATTTTTTCAATACGTCTTGTATTACGATTCTTTACCGTTACTACTTAATTTTAATTTAAACACATCATAACGAGGGTAGACTACCAAATATTCGTATGAAAAAAATTCTGAGGCATAAAAAGTGATAATAAAATCATAATATTGTTTATTTAAAATGTAGAACGAGATTCCTTATAAGATTATCTACCTTTATCAAAAAAAAAATGTCCATAAGAAAGTCAAATTAAATTTTTATGAACGTTTGATATTCAAATTTTTACAACATTGGATATTCACTCGAATTCTCATGTATAGTGATTTTCTTATTTTGTTGTAATTCAAAAACGAATAACTGTAGGTACATGAAAATTTCACTGAATTTTTATATTAGCATTTCCTATGCACCATACAATTTTGAAAATGTTTTGACTCTTTTTGAGCTGTTTACGGGCATTACATTTTTCTTTTTTTTTTAGTTTTTTTTCTATAAATATCAATAAAGTTATATCTGTTGGGCCAAAAAATGTAAAAATGTAAGGCTCCTAATATATTTTTACAATAGCAGTTAAAAAATATTAAAAATACATAGGCACAATTTTTTTTATAAGCATTTAAAGATCGAATTTTGACAAAATTTATCAAATTTAAAATTGAATAATTATTTTTTAGTTAAAAATTTATAAAATTTTCAAATTTTATATCTAAGGACTGAAAATTTAAAACAAGATTCCACGTAAGTAGTTAATTCTGTTATCAAAAAATCTAAAAAATACATAAACAAATTTTATTTTTATAGTCATTTTAAGTTCAACTTTGGACAAAATTACATAATAAAAAACCTAGAATAACTAGTTTAGTTATTTTGTTGTGATTGTATAATATTATTCGTGGATACTTGAAACTTCTAAAGTACACTTCTATATATCTATGATAGGATCAGGGTTTGTTGTTGATGTATAACGCGTTATAAGTACCTAATGGATATTGTGATATGATTAATTTGTAATGTATTATGATTTATGGGTACCTATTATAGGTCAATTGAACTCAAATTTAACACCATCCATTATCCAGTGACCCACTCTTACTTACTGTACAGCAGAGCACCTTTTTATATATATTTTTTTTATATGACTATAGTGTTAATTAAACTGAGGAAAAAATTACAATAAGTATTATGCTTAAAAGACGCCAAAACGTTTTCAATTCTTTGATATATGAAACTGATTTTGTATATCTAAAGCATTTCCGGGGACAATTATAATAATGACAATAATAATATTATACCAGGTGGGTTATTTTGTACCAGCCCGGGGGATTTAAAATATGTAGATATGGTCTGTATATTTTTTTTTGTATTTTCGAGTTTTTGATAATTTTAAATATTATATTTACCGCGGTAAATTGTTGGCGGTTCCATCTATTTCATATCATTTCATCTATTCTGTGGTTCCATGATAACATGATAACAATGCCAGAGGCCGCCGTGATGCGCGCGCACCGGACACCATAATGACATGCCGACATGATGATTTCTATTTTGTCATGCTCCCATGCTCGTGTAATTGTTGCTCCTTGACAGTCTTCTACACTATTTCTATTTTATAGAAATCTGTGTATGTAGTTTGTAGTTTTACCACTAAATATAGCTAACTATTTTTTTCAGCTGTATTGTTCATTGTCTCTTTTTTTTAACTATTGCTAATGTCTGTAATGGATTACTAATAGTATATTGAAATCTACATTATTTATCCGCCATCGCACGGAGTTCGGATAATCGGATCCACATTTTGATTGCAACATTGTAAAAAGTAATAATATGATACTTAATATTTTATGTTAATTAAGGTCGGTACTTTTACTTATACATAATTGTGTTGGCAGATTAATATAATAAGTTAACGTGATATTGTGTTACATTTCTTGACATAAGTAATTAAAAATTTTAACTACCTATATAATGAGAACCATTGTTTAATTTCCTCAATATTTATTTTTATTTCATTATTTCGCTGGTGGTACTTATTGCTGAATTTCAAGATTCAAAATTATTAACAACTTTTTATAAAATAAATAATTCTTTTTGTTCATTATTTTATTGCTATGTCGTTTCTTTTATAAATTAGGGCCAGTTGTACCGTCTATGATTAAACTATGATTAAGCTTAATCAGCTGATAACAGATATTCAAACGGGCAAATTCGACCTATTAAACTCTGAATAACCATAATCATAAACGGTACAACTGGCCCTTATAATCGAAGAATTCAAGCAGGTGGATGCAAAGTGTCAGTACTCTACTACTCTAGAACGCATGCTCTATGTTTATTATAATATTTGATAGTAAATTGTTTTAAATAACTTCTTTATTATGTTTTTAAATTTGAACCTAATATATTATTCAATTCCTATTAGGCCTAAATTATTTTTAAATCTGAAAACTACTCAGTTGTTAATTAACTACTTAAATTTTATGTTGATTTTTATCTATACTGTGTATAAGAACAGGCTTGAAATAAGAACAGGCTTTGGCGGCTACTCAGACGCCATCCCCACTACGGTGGCGCGTCAATAGTTGCCACAGAACAAAGCCACATGAGTACAACTCGACTGCCGAAGCCTATTCTTATTCCGAACAGAGTCTGGACATATTATGCACATGTTATTGTCGTTAATTATCTTACTCAAATGTTTATTTGGTTAAAACGATTTTATACTATTGTTCTTTCATACCTAATAATTGACTTATTATTTTACCAAAAGGCAACTATATAAGAAATGTCTTCGTCACAAGACTCAAGAAATGATGATCCATCCACATGTGAGATTGTCGATTTTGGTATCTACTATTTGGACATAGTGCAATGTCCATTAGATCCAAACCACAAACTTCGACGTCACAGGTTGCCATATCATATTTTAAAGTGCAGAAAGAATTTTCCGGATAAAGTTCAATGCCCTTATGGACATTACTATTATTTAGAAAAACAAGAAATGGCTAATCATTTACAGACATGCCCTCATAAGCCAAGGACAGCTCAAGCTGAAGAAATGCAACCATACAATGTGCAAGCTCAACAAGCTAGAAATGAGAATATCAAATACAACTATGATGTTGACAATTATACAATTGATGAACCCTATTGGGATTAATTTTATTTATTAATTTTTTTATATTAAGTTTAAATGCGACTGATAACACTTATTATCAAACACAATTAAAAACTGTTAATATTATATAAGCCAATGATATTTTTACTGTAAGGATAGAAATAAATGCCTACAGGCATTGATCAAGTTTTCATTTTTTTTTTTAAAAATTCAAGTATTTCAAGGCATCAAATAGTTTTTTTTTTTAAATTATTATCATTACAATAACTGCCAAAAAATGTATGTAAATTCAATTAGTATATTAATTTTAACTTAAAAATATGCTTTCGTTTAAATAATTATATAATAAGATAAAATTATACAGTATAAGTTATGCAGCTATGTTAATTGCATAAAAATATTTCTATATTATTACAGCATTTATCAACAGGCATTGTAAGACAATTTAATTTAATTTACTTGTTTAATTTTAATGGACATTTTTACAAGAAATATAATTTTAATTAATTGTATTAAATCGCTTCATGCTCATTGAAACCAAATAAACATTAGTTTACTTCTCACAATGCTTTTAAACATTTATTTTGAGTAAAACTGTATCAAAACATTCTTTGAGATGGTCATTAAAGAAATCATTATTTTGATTTTTGTATTAATATCGGCATAAATCTAGTTTAGGGGCCAAGCGATTTTTTCAATTTTTTTTATGGAAACTTATGTATCTCATCGAGTTAAGAACGATGGTGCAATCAGAATTTGTCGCTCTCGTTTAGTTCCGAAGTTATGGCCTACCAAAGTTTTCGATTTTACGTTTATACGCATGCGCACAACACTACTATAATGACGCGCGGAGAACCATTTTTGTTATTTTTTGGTACATACGTATTCGGTATACCTTCTTTTTTTGAAACTTATGTAGTTATGTATTATGTACCCTGTGACATACTTGAGGTGGTGTTACATAGCAAGTCGGGGGATATTTTCGATTTGCGGAGCGGAGCGACGTCGCCGAGGAGCGTAGCGACGAGTGCCCACACACGCGTAATGACTGCTCATATACTACGACATAATTTTTCCTGTAACCTACTTAAGGTGGTGTTAATGATTTACGCGTAATGACTTTGAATTGCCATAACTTTTGAACGGTAAGTTTCCGGAGATAAGATGAAAATTATTAAGTGTTTATAAAATATACGTAGAAAAACCCATGTATTAATCGGGATACGTAGATAAAAGTTAGGTAAGTCTATACGCGCCTGCTGAAAGGGTAGGTAAATAACAAAAATGGTCCTCCGCGCGTCATTATAGTAGTGTTGCGCGCATGCGTATAAACGTAAAATCGAAAACATTGGAAGGCCATAACTTCGGAACTAAATGAGAGCGACAAATTCTGATTGCACCATCGTTCTTAACTCGATGAGATACATAAGTTTCCATAAAAAAAATTGAAAAAATCGCTTGGCCCCTAAACTAGATTTGTTCCTTAATATCTTTCAGCCCTAGGAAAATGTACAGACAATTTTAAAATATTGAAGAATCACAAAAATGTAATGTTCTAACTGAGCTTACAAAGTAATACTAATACACCTCTATCCAGTATAAGGGTTGACAAAATAAAAAGAGTGCCAGATATTCAAGAGTCTGTTTTTATTTTATACCCGCCGGCTGCCACTTCTACTGTGAAATTGACTAAATGTAAATAATATATAAATAATATTTAAGGGTCGCTACTCTCTTACTATTTATCAATATTTTTGAGTGTGCTCACTTTTTCTGGCTTATGTCTTTGATTTCCCTACAAACTCTATTTTATAACATTAAATAAGGTCTTAGTCTGTGTATTTAAAAATATCAAAAATCAAAATTTGAATATATATATAATTAAAGCATAATAATTAGCCATTGGGTGAGCATGCTTAAAAAATCACCCTACTAGCAACACCTACCAATAATAACACTAAAAAAAAAAAAAAATTAAAATGCTTTAATTTTAATTGGAGTAATTCAAATTTGCCATAGACGATAGACCTATCAACTTAATACCTCTATGAAATGTGCACATAGCAACATAGCAGTATACCACTGTTAATATTAAAATAATGGTTTTTATTAATATTATTTTATAACTTGTAAGTAATAAACATAAATAACAAGTGAAAATATTAAAAATGACATTTTTGATTAAAAAACACTTAAATGAAACTAATACTCACTATTCCCACTTAATTAAAAAAAAAAATAATAAGTAGCAACCCTGTAATATGTATTAATAAAAATAGGGAAAGTGAGTAATAAACGTATAATATTATAATTGTTAATATTCTGAATATTCATTATATTATACTTTTTTATTTAGTTTTAAAAAAAATTAACAAAAATGTAGGTCAGGTACATATAAAATGTATATATTTTGAACCTAAGTAGTACAATACAATCATATAATGATGGGGTAGCTAATTTGTTTATTATATTTTATAATATAAACTCTATGTTTTAATCCTTCAGTTAAACGTTTAACTAGTAGAAAAAGTAATAGATAACTTAACCAACACTTTATCCCAAAGTTATGTTTAACCCAAGGTGGATTGATCAATCCACCTTGGTTTAACCATTAACTGATAAACTGAAAAGTTTCAGTCAACTCTCTGTTAAATTTAACTGATAGTTAAATGTCTCTAACTAGCAGTTAAATATGACTGAAAAACCAGGCCTCAGTCTATCATTTAATGACTACATTTATTCAGGTTGACAAATGTGTCCAGCCATTGTTTAATATTATTGTCCTATGATATTATTTAGGTCATGGAATGCTATTGATAATTATGAAATAGTATAATGTTAAGTTTATGACAACATTTATTTTTACACAATAAGTTGTTTTCAATTCATAAGCGAAATCCATTAAAATTCCAGAGGGGGGCTAACATTATTAACATCAATGTGAGCGGGAAAGCTTCGATCCTATAAAACTAAAATTGGAGGGGGGAATAAGCCCCCTCAACACCACCCACCTGATTTCTGCAAATGTTTCATTAATTATCAAAACGATGCAAATGTGTATTGTATATAATATTTAAGTTTTAAATTGTTCATATATCCAAGCTCAATTATTTATTTTTACAAAGTAGAAACTGAAATTAGTTTGATGACAATTGGGTAATAAGAAACATTAAACCTTGAGATGATAAATATTATAGAATTATAATTGATGGTCAGTGGCGTAGCAAGAATTCTCCAATGGGAGAAAGGGGGGTTATCTTTTTGCACATCACTAAAATATATTGTCCGGTATGGTAACTGTAAATGCGCCACTGAGTTGTACGCTAATTGAATAATACATTTTTGATTAGACTAATAATGACCCATGTTTGCGGACATTATTATTTAAAATTATTGTACACAATAGTACAATACACACTAATTGACTTATTTATAGATGCACAGGTAAGAGTATAAAATAAAAAAAAACTTTTTTAAATTGTAATATTAGTATTAGTTAAAAATATTTATATAATATTTGAATTTACATTCTAAGTTAGATATAAGTTGTAGGAATCTTACTTTTCTTGAGACTTTAGCAAAGTCATCAAGAACTTCATCTGTAGTTAAAACTATTTCATGATGAATATTTAATAATGCTTAACTATTTAGTTGATTTTCTCCAGTAGTGTTTCTGAGGTGTGTCTTAGTCTTTTAAGTCTTTTTAAGGTAGAAAATGATCTTTCACTGCTTGCTGTAGTTACGGAAAGTGTAGATGGTATTTGCAGGAGTTTATAAGTCGATGGAGAAATTAGAGGGTTACATGTTATAAAAGCTTCCAATGCATTTTTTGGTTTTTCTGTTCCAACAAACTTTTGTCTCAACTTCTAACATTACCGAAGAACTACATTGAAGATCTTCACTATACTTTTCTGCCAAACTTTTAATGTATTCTTCCTTATCTATTATTCTAATTATAGATCATAAAGACATGGATAGGACAATAACGCCCTCTCTTTTTTTTTTTAGGCCAAGAGCCAGGGTTTGAACCTATTCAAGTTTAAACCCCCTCCCCTGGCTACACAACTGTTGATTCTACAACATTATTTTCAAAAATTTTATATTATTATATTTAGAATTTAATTGTTAAAATTACTATTCATTTAAAATCTTTTTAGTATAGTTAAAGGAACACGAAAATATACTTTAGTGTTTTCTGGTCCATACATAATACCTATTATGTTAATTACTTTTATTTTTTTATTTTTTATTAGGATTTAAGAGGACATTACACACTTTCACCCATATGTGTTGTCTCTGTCTTACATACGCTTTACTTAGCAAATTGTATACAGTAGAATCAGCTTAAAGGGGACACCTGCTTAATGCGGACATAAATGACAGTCCCGAATGAATGTATTGTATGTAAAATTCTTCGGTTAATCGGGACAGTCGGGATAATGGGGACAAATAGGTCACCGCCCGATGTGTCCCAATTAAGCGGATTCTACTGTATTTTGAATAATCTATTAAACTGTTGTTTAATATTACAGTGAATTGATTTATTATAAAATTTATAAGTAAGAATATTATCTAGTGAATCTCAGGTTTTTTATATTATATTTTAATTTGAAAGTGAGTTGTATAAATTAACATTTTAAAGTTGTAAATTGTTTGTACATTTTACTAATAATAATAATGGATATAAAAATGTAAAATTAAAATAATGGTACTTTAGAACACTATTATATTACAATTTATAATATTAAGATATTTGTGAAAAAAAAAGTAAATATAGCTATAGTATAATAATATTATCTTAATATTTTTAATACTAAAATATATAACAAATACTTGACATAATGCGAAAATATTTAAAAAAAACTTTCACCACCATATTGCCATTATTTGTTATTATGAATCAAGTAGTTTGTAGATATTTTTTTTCTTGAGGTAACATTTGTATGTTAAAAATCATCATCATCGTTAAGATCATTAAAATCTGTAAAACACAAGCAGTCTATTAATAAACAAAACAATAGGATAGGTGTGGGTATTGGAGT